AAACATAAGGTTTGTAAACTCGTTAAATCCTTGTATAGATTAAAACAAACTCCTAAATAATGGCACCAAAAGTTTGACAAAACGATGTTGTTAAACGCATTCAAAATCAACGAGTGTGACAAGTGTGTATATGTAAAACATACACCAAATGCCTATGTGATTGTATGTCTTTATGTAGACGACATATTGATAATGGGCAATAGTCATGAAATGTTGCTAAACACCAAGAAAATGCTAACAAAGTATTTCGACATGAAAGACATGGGTGTGGCTGATGTGATACTAGGGATTAAGATCTCTAGAATATCGGAAGGAATTGTACTTTCCCAATTTCACTACGTTGAGAAGATACTTATGAAGTTTAACGGGTTTGAGGAAAGTCCCGTGAAAACCCTTATTGATTCAAGTATACACTTAGTCAAAAATATGGGTGAATGTGTGTCACAACTAAAGTATTCACAGGTTATAGGTAGTCTAATGTATATTATGAAATACACTCAACCAGATATAGCATATGCTGTGAATAAACTTAGTAGATTCACAAGTAATCCAAGTCATGATGATTGGAAGGCTTTGATAAGGCAAGAATCCATAAACTTCATATCCTTAACCTATAGATTATACTTCACAAGATATCCTGCAGTATTGGAAGGATATTGTGATGGGAATTGGATATCCGACATAAAGGATTTCAAGTCCACTAGTGGTTATGTATTTACCCTAGAAGCAGTTGCTATCTCATGGAAATCGATAAAGCAAACATGTATAGCTCGATCAACGATGGAATTGGAGTTCATTGCTTTGGACAAAGCTTGAGAAGAAGCAGAATGACTTCGTAACTTTTTGGAAGATATTCCATGTTGGCCCAAGTCGGTAACTGTGATTTGTATACATTGTGATAGTCAATCGACTATTAGAAGGGCTCGAAGCAGCATGTATAATGGTAAGTCTAGACATATACGTCGCAGATATAAAACCATTATGTGGACTTATGATTTAATATAGCTCCACCTGTTTTGATTATAACAAACAGTACACTTATGTTTCTAACAAATTTTGTTTCTTGAGTTTTTCATGAATATATCTTCTTAAGCATTCAAAGAGCCAAATCGTCATCCATTGAAGAACAAGCAATCAAATGAGACTCAAAGAGAATAAGAACAAGAACTTTGANACATAAAAATTTTAAAAAAATATTTAGTTCAGCAAAGATAAAAATATTCTCAATCCACATCATTAATTTTTATTTTCATTCATTATCTTTTGAAGTCAATTTATTATTTATTTTTATTTTACGATTGTAGTGAAAAAATAGTATAAGATCCATCAATTTTAAAAAAGTATATATTACTTGATTATTAATATAAATTTATTTTATTTTTATTGAATAATCAAATTTCATGGAATAAAATATCATAAAATAAATTCTCAAAATTTTTAAACCAAATGTATTTTTCATTTTTTTGCTTTGAGAAATATTTTCAGTAAAATTACAAATCAAACAAGTTTTAGTAATCTTAAAATCGAAGATTAAAAATGAACTCGAAACTGAAAAAAAACTAAAAATTGAAACACAAACCAAATGGATCCTAAAATCCTCGCTTCATTTCAAGACAGAAGCAAAGTATAAAAAAACTCAAGAATATAGTACTTTTAGCCGAGGAAAGAATCTTGAGAACAATAAATCAATACCTTGATGAAACTATAAAAGGAAGAATCTTGAAACCCTTCAGTTAATTTCAAGAAGACCTTTAATTTTGGGGATAGAAAACGGAAAAAAATTCAAATGAAAACTTTCAGAGATTTGAGTTGGAAATCTGGGGATTGATGGCTTTGCTTTTAAATGGTTGAAGAGGGAAAGAAGGTAAAAATATTTCTTTTATTTTTTTAAAGTTGAATATTGAAATAGACCATTTCACCCTTAATTTTTGGGTCAACTAACGACCAAATTGATGGAATCTGTCCATCTGTTCTGCTACAATAAAATGAAAGGTTAGGAATTGTGGGTGGTACAAATAGTAGGTTTCAGTAAAGTTTGCGACAAAATGAAAGGTTTGGAACGTTGATGCAACTAAAAAATGAATTTGGTGTGTACAGAACCTGATTTGAAAATTTTCCAGATGGACTCATAGTAGGACTGATTATCCTGTGTTATTTCATGGTTCCATGGCCAATTTCCAGATCCTAAAAATGGATAGGGAATAGAATGTACCTGTGAAATAACACCAAGAACTCCTAGCGACACTTTAGCTGGAATGAGCTCAGGGTTTCCAATCTCAAGTGTTCGGACCTTTGCATGTCCCTCTTCAGCTGTAGTCGGAATCACAATCCAAAATCCAATTAGAGAGTCCTGACCTTGACTCTCCAAACCTCATAAAGAGCTACTGTGTGCATCTGTTCCCATCATGCCACCGATCAACACTCCCACTAATATGGTGAAATAGGCAGAGCTAGTTTCACCTTTGCAGCTTCAATGATCAGCTGCCTGAGTGTCACTCCACTCTCCACAGTCATCATCATGCTTGATACATTAAGGTACTTGGTACTTACAGGGTCGGTCCTATGATTTTCGGGGCTCGAGACGAACTCCATAAATTAGGTCATTCAAAATCAACGTAAATGAAAAATTCAACGGTGTATTATGCAACAATTGTTAACTTAAAACTTAACAGTAAAACAATAAAGAAATATATTATACAAAAGATTTATATTATAAAATAACAAAATCAGCAATGTTTTAAACAATCAGTTAAATACTATAAGCCTTACTGTTTTAGAGGCAAAAACATTAATCACATCTGAATAATTTAGCCGTTCAACCATTTCTTTCAATATAGTTACTATGTACGCCTATGTAATTGATGCTACAATAACCAATTATATAAGCCGAACATGGCGCAATTATATAAGCCGACAACGCTTCAAATATTTTCCATATATTCAATAACAATTTAGGGCAAGCTATTGCTTACTCGAGAAGTAGAATTTCGAGGAAAATTATGAAATCGCAGTATCACACTCTTGAGAATTCCACCGTCACAACTCACAAGCCTGAAATAAATATTTAACATCAACCACCAATCCAAAAGTACAATTCTATTGCATATAACTATTCTGTTTAAATTCAAATCCTATTGTAGCAAGAAAAATGATTGTGAATACAATTACTAGCCCAATAGACAATTAAACATAAATGAATGTCACGAGTCAATGCAGTATGGATCACCAGGTAAAGAAAGAGCCATAAACATAGTTGTGGGCCACTTCCATTACTAACTTGAAGTATAAAGCAACATGTACCAATTTAACATATGAATTGTAAAAGAAAATTGAACGGTCAATCATATCACAAAATATAATAATAAAAGAGCTATTGAGGAAGAACAATGATCTCTTCTTATTATTCCACAATGAGATACAAGGCTATATATACAGGAATATACAGCAGTAAAAGGAAAGAAACAAAATGCAATGTAATCAACTTTAATTGTAGACAAAACATCCGCCACAAATCAAGAATAATCACAGCCCTTATCATTGACCTACAATTATGAGTCACGCATGTTAAGGAAGAATATAAGGCAATTTCTTCATAGGAGTTGATCTGTAATGATATTGTTGCCCAATATTCCCCCTCAAGTTGGAGCATGTATGTCAATCATGCCCAACTTGCCAAGAAGGTCAAGAAATTGCGTACTGGCAAGGGGCTTTGTAAAAAGGTCTGCTAGTTGCTTCTTTGTATGAACATAAGCTGTCTTGAGCAAACCTTGCTGTATTTTCTCGCGGATGAAGTGGCAGTCCAACTCTATATGCTTGGATCGTTCATGAAAAACCGGATTGGCAGCTATGTGAAGTGCAGCTTGATTGTCACAATATAAGGTTGGAGAATGAGACAAAGTAACACCAAAGTCAGCCAAGAGATATTGTAGCCATTGCAATTCACACGTAACTTGAGCCATTGCTCGATATTCCGCTTCAGCTGAGGATCTAGAAACGATATTTTGCTTTTTTGTCCTCCATGAGATGGGACTATTCCCAAGAAAAATACAATATCCACTCATAGATCGTCGAGTAATGGGACAACTGACCCAATCCGAATCGGCATAAGCATTTAAGCATAAAGAACTTGATGAAGCTAATAATATACCTTTACCAGGAGTACCTTTCAAGTAACGCAAAATTCTCAAAGCGGCATCAAGATGTGATTTTTGAGGTGCCTGCATAAATTGGCTAAGAATATTCACTGCAAACACAAGATCAGGTCTGGTAATAGTAAGATAAATCAAGCGGCCGATAAGACGACGATAAATTGCGGGTTCAGGCAAAAGATCTCCATCATTAATGCCAAATTTCAGATTCTGCTCTATTGGTGTTTGAGCAGAACGACACTCAAGCATTCCCATATCATGTAGAATATCAAGTCCATATTTTCTCTGGCAAAGAAAAATACCTTTCGAAGATTGCGCAATTTCTATTCCAAGAAAGTATTTAGGAGAGCCAAGATCCTTAATGCTAAATTTATCATTCAGCATTTTCTTTAATGATTGTATTCCCTTCAAATTATCACCTGCCACAAGGATGTCATCAACGTATATCAAGACAAAAATGGAGCCATTATGGGCGTTCTTTAAAAAAAGTGTGTACTCTGCCTTTGATTGAACAAACTCCATAGACAACAAGGATTCTCTTAATTTAGAAAACCAGTTACGCCTTGCTTGTTTGAGACCGTAGAGCGATTTATTGAGGCGACACACATGCTTTTCTTTCTCCCCTTCCTTTTGATAGCCAGGAGGTATCTCCATGTAAACTTCTTCATGTAAATCTCCATGAAGAAATGCATTATTCACGTCAAATTGGTGCAGCGACCATCCTTTTATAGCGGCAATAGCAAGTAAGCATCGAACAGTAACCATTTTGGCTACTGGTGCAAAAGTTTCACCGTAATCAATCCCCTCCAATTGTGTATAGCCTTTTGCAACTAAACGAGCCTTATATCTTTCAATTGTACCATCGGAACGATACTTGATCTTGTAGACCCATTTACAACCAATAGGTTGCTTACCATGCGGAAGAGTGGTAATTGTCCATGTGTTATTCCTTTCAAGAGCATCAATTTCTGCAGCCATAGCTTTTCTCCACTCTAAATTTTTGATAGCTTGTGAAAAAGAATTAGGTTCTATCTTTGAGTCAAGAGAGGTGAGGAAAGCTTTGTGTTTGTTTGATAAATGAGTGTAGGAAATAACAAGAGACAAAGGATAAGGAGTACCTTTCCCACGAGGAGACAATTGATGTGGGTAATCTGCTGAAGTGACTGTATTGCATATGTAGTCATTTAAATATGCTGGTGCTTGCCGCGAATGAGTTGGTCGATTGTTTGGAATGACATTGGAATGAGAGTCATCTGGGTCCATGGTTCTGATGGGAGAAGAATCCAAGGTGGGCATCTGATTATGAGAAGAATCTGGATTATCTGAATCCAAAAAGGAAGTAATATTATGATGATCTGAAATGGGTAACGGTACCACGAGGTTATTTGACTTTTCTAAACGAGAGTCTTTATAAGGAAATAAATGTTCATAGAACAAAACGTCCCTCGAAGTGTACATGGTACGAGACTCAAGATCATAAATTTTGTAACCTTTTTGCCCAAATGGATATCCTACAAAAATACCTGGTTTGGAACGAGCATCAAATTTATGTTTATGAGGAGAAAGATTATGACCATAACATAGACACCCAAATACTTTAAGATGAGAATAGATTAGTGGTGTTCCAAGAAGCATTTCGTGTGGTGTTTTTCCATTTAGAACTGGGGAAGGCATTTTGTTGATTAAATATGTTGCAGTAAGAACACACTCCCCCCAAAAAGATAATGGAAGATGGCTGTGAAATCTCAATGAGCGAGCTACGTCAAATAAGTGTCGGTGTTTTCTCTCTACAACCCCATTTTGTTGTGGAGTTGCAACACAACTACGTTGATGCATGATGCCGTGGCCTTTAAAAAAATCTTGCAAATCCTTGGAAAGAAACCCAGCTCCATTGTCAGTACGAACACTTTTAATAGGAAAAACTGAACTTAATTCATCAAGAGAAAAAGTTGCAAAGTTTTCTGTTTGAATTTTTCTTATCCTTGTATTGTACTGGGTGCAGACAAAAGTAAAGAAGGATTTTAAGAGCGATTGAGTCTCAGATTTATTCTTCATAAGGAATACCCAAGTGCAACGACTAAAATCATCAACGACAGTCAAAAAGTAGCGTGAACCTGAATGGCTAGGAACAACAAAACTTCCCCAAATATCGCAATGAATTAACTCAAAAGGAAAACTTGTTTTAGTATTACTGGAAGGAAATGAAGTTCTTGCATATTTTCCCAAGGGGCATACATCGCAAACTACTTTATTTGAAAATGAAACTTTGGAATCTAATGCAGAAATAAATTTGGCTGGTCCAACAGAAGGATGCCCTAAACGCCAATGCCAGACATCAAAGGTAGGTTTTTCAGCGGCATATAAACTTGTGGAAGGGCGTATGCAATAAAGACCATTCCAACAATTACCCATTCCAATCGTCTTCCTCGTGTTGAGGTCCTGAAAAACACATCGATCAGGAAAAAAAGTCACAGAACAATTTAGAGCTTTAGTCAATTGGGAAACGGACAACAAGTTGTATTTGAATGATGGAATGTGATAGACATTATCAAGATGAATTGATGAATTAATAGTTGCAGCACCAATTTGCGCAATTGATGCTTCTGAACCATCCGCTATCTGAACAGTAGAGCGAGAAATGTTTGGTGACATGGACTGAAACAAATGAAGGGAAGAACACATATGGTTTGTAGCACCACTATCTATAACCCATATATCATCATTGAATGAGTTCAGTGCAGTACCTGCAAAATTTGTGTTATGATCAATTCTACCTTGTTGTAAAATGGCCAAGATCTGATCATACTGTTCTTGTGTTATTGGTGAAGAGGCATGCTCATTTGTAGGGGTAGTTGTTGGATTGAATTGTTGGTCTAAAGCAGCAAGTCCACGAGGAGATACAAGGATAGCAGTGGGATTATCTGAGACTTGTAGCATGAGAGGATTGGAAAAAGGATCAACAATTTGACCATTAGTGCTCTCTCTTGATGAACTGTCGGCAGGTGATGCCATTGGTATTGATTTAGGAACTTGACAAGACTAATTCCTATGCTCTGATACCATAAAAATAAAAGAGGTAATGAGGAAGAACAATGATTTCTTCTTATTATTCCAATGAGATACAAGGCTATATATATATATACAGGAATATACAGCAGTAAAAAGGAAAGAAACAAAATGCAATGTAATCAGATTTAATTGTAGACAAAACATCCGCCACAAATCAAGGAGTTGATCTGTCTGTAATGATATTGTTGCCCAATAACTTTCATGATCCAAAACTGAAATAGAAACCATTTTACTCCTCATGTCATCAATTGAACCCGCCAGTCCCTATCAGTAAATCCATGAAACATAAAATTCTGACAGTAACTATATTTGATGCCATAGTTCATTGTCCATTTGATACATCTTATAACTCTCTCTTTGGAGCCCGAAAATGTACTTCAGTACAAACATGATGTCAAGTTTGGTTGTTGTAACAACCCATCAAGCTTCTGTAGAGTCATTCATCAACCTTGTCTGCTCCATCATTCTTACTAAACTTTTCCTTTCGATTCATTGGTGTGCTTATATTCCTGCAATCTTCCATATGAAATTTTTTAAGTATTTCCTTTGAATATTTCTTTTGACATATGAAGACTCCATCATGACTTTACTTCGCTTCTGTTACGGGCCTGTGTCAGACCCGCCACCTCACCCGCAACGTGTCCCCCCCCGTGGCCCAAACCACGTGCCGGACGAGGTGATAAAACCAAAAATCNTAGTTGTTGGATTGAATTGTTGGTCCAAAGCAGCAAGTCCACGAGGCTGAGATTTGGAAGATTCTGACGATTTGTTTGACCGTGGAAATGATTGGGAAGAATCTGACAAATTGTTGGAGCGTGAAAGAGATTGGGAAGACTCTGATATGTTGTTGGAACGTGGTGGATATCCATGAATCTTATATCACTTGTTTATAGAGTGACCCTCCTTGCCGCAATGATCGCATCGAGGCCGTTGGCGATTCTTTTGTCCTTGCCATGATGCTTGATTATTTCCCCATTTATTCCTTTGCTGGTTATTTTGTTGTCCTGCTACTAAAGCTGAACCTTCATGAATATTGGGAGTGATCAATGCAAGACCTCGTTATTTCTCTTCTTGTAAGAGTAAAGAGTAGATTTTGTTGACAGAAGAGAGTGGCTCTGTCAACAAAATTTGACTACGAAAGGCTCCATAACTTTCATGGAGTCCTAGTAGAAACTACATTGCCTTATCTTGTTGAAGCATATTAGCTATGATTTTCGCTGCTCCACATGAACAACTTGGTATAGAAGTATATGAAGCCAATTCATCCCACAAAATCTTCAATTTTGTATAATATGCAGTGATAGAAAGATCTTTTTGTGTACAATCTGAAATTGATTTTTTTACCTCATAGATCTTAGTACTGTTGGGTTGCGAGAACCATTCTTGGAGCTCCTTCCAAATCTTTTCTGTTGTATCGGCATAGATGATGCTGGCACGAAGTTGTTCCCTAATTGAATGAATCAACCAAGAAATGACCATGTCGTTTACCCGGACCCATTCGTAAGTCGATGAATCGCTGTCCGGTATGGGAATTGATCCATCAACAAAGCCAAGTTTATTTTTTGCTCGTAGAGCCATGCACATAGACCTGGACCAAGTATTAAAATTATCTCCATTTAGTGGAGGAGATACAAGGATAGCAGTGGGATTATTTGAGACTTGTAGCATGAGAGGATTGGAAAAAGGATCAACAATTTGACCATTAGTGCTCTCTCTTGATGAATTGTCGGCAGGTGATGCCATTGGTATTGATTTAGGAACTTGACAAGACTAATTCCTATGCTCTGACACCATAATAATAAAAGAGGTATTGAGGAAGAACAATGATCTCTTCTTATTATTCCAATGAGATACAAGGCTATATATATACAGGAATATACAGCAGTAAAAGGAAAGAAACAAAATGCAATGTAATCAGCTTTAATTGTAGACAAAACATCCGCCACAAATCAAGAATAATCACAGCCCTTATCATTGACCCACAATTATGAGTCACGCATGTTAAGGAAGAATATAAGGCAATTTCTTCATAGGAGTTGATCTGTAATGATATTGTTGCCCAATAAAATATGTACACAGGATAAACATATTACTTGTTGAAAACCAAAATCAGACAGAGGATATGTGAATATTACTATTCTCACAACAACAAAGCGCAGATGTAAAAGATTAAACTGGTAAAGTATACCAAAAAACTGAGTCAGAACAAGATGAAAGCAGAGAAGTTGCAAGCATAATAACCTCAACAATATCTTTTCACTTCTGGTGCTGAAGCACAATAACCACATCATTGCTTGTCCATACAAGAATATCATCCTCTCCATCATAAGGTGTTCATCTACATCAGCAAGTGATAGAACAAAGCTTCATAAATAGCTCACTACAGTCCACAGTCACAGACCACAATCAATACAAGCATACAACTAATTCTTGAAAAAATTCACCCATAGACAGACAAGATAAACCCTACCGAAAAAGCTCTTCAAATTGAAGTGCATGGCGAATCCTGCCGACTAGGTCGTGCTGGCGTGATTAAGGTTGAAAATGGGGCCGGGTTATTGTGAATTTTGTGAGTTGTGATTTGTTATATGTTTGATTTTTAAGATTTGTGAAAGAGACAAGAGTGAAGGGAAGGGAAGGGAAGAAGAAGAGAAGAAGCCGGTCCATTGGAGTTTGGAGGAGTCGCTGATGGAAAATGGGAGTTGAGAATGAAAACAAATTTTCCATTTTCCTCTTTTAAAAAAATAGGCCCTCTCTGGTTTTGGGCCTGATGTTCAGGCCTCATTTTCCTCTCCACGGGGCCGGCCCCGTGTTTATCAAAAGAGAAACAATACATAAATCAAGTTTTTAAGTATCACCATTTCAAAATTAAGGGTTGATGTTTTAAATTTCAAAAATCAGGTTTTCATTTAAATTTATTTATGAATTAATTAATTAATTATATGTTCTATTAATAAATATATAACGGTCACATATATATACAATTTGGTTAAAATTCNNNAATATATAAATGTCACATATCTATGTAATTTATTCACAATTCAAAAATTTTATAGGTCACAGCTCGTTCATCGATCATAAATTAAAAATTTAAAAGTCACAATTTGTTCATCGGTCACAAATCACTGAATTTATAAGTCACAACTTATTTTATGGTCACAAAAAATCAAATTATAGGTTACAGATTACTTTTATTGCTCACAAATTAGTAAAACTTGTAGGTCACACAGTATTTATTGGCCACAATTTATTCTTCATTGGTTATACACCAACCAAGTTATCGGTCACAATCAACAAATCATTTGTGGTCACCACCAACACAACACCACTGTCGCCTCCTCCACCAACACCAACAGCACCAACATCACAGAAACGCACCACAATGGTTTGAGGTCACAGGTTAATTACGAGTCACAGTGAACCATAATGTTGGTCACATACACCAAACACCCCACCCCATCCCGATCCTCTACTAATATTTGGTCACAAATCAACCCTAGAGACCTTACCACCACCACCCTCACCGCTGCTGGCAGATAACCAAAACCCCCACCAACAGCACCAAAACCACCACTACCACCAACATAAGCACCATCATCTCCACTACAAATCCACCATATCCGCCACATTCAAAACTAAAACATAGATCTCATCTCAGATCTAAACAATCAAACCACACTGCAACGCCACTACAGCAACGACCGCTACCCAAACACCACCACCACCATAGCCCCCATCTACCACCAATTGAAAACACACCCAAAACCACATCAAATCGTGAACCTGTAGATCTCGGCCATGGCAGGCAGACCACAGCCACACGAGCACCACCACCACATCGACTGCTCCCGGCGACGAGCTCCACTGTGCGAAGAGGGGAAGAAGCGGTGGTAGCGGCGGCGGTTTGGAATAGAAGGGAGAGAAGATGAGAGAGGAGATGGGTTCAAATGATTTTAGGGTTGGTTGGGTTAGAGAGGGTGGGGGGTGTATATAAATTAATTTATATTGTATATAGATATAAAAATAAAAATAAAATATTTTTAATTTAATAATTAAAA